GTCCCGCCCGTCGCGTCTCCTCCCTCGGTGTCCCCGTCGGCGGCCCAGACGACAGCCAGTGCTGAGGAATTCTCGGCGGATGCTCTGTCTTTTGGGGAGGAAGAGCCCGTTTCCAGGACTGCTTCCGCCGCCGGGAGGAGGCCCGACCGAGGCCAGGCTGGCGTCCTCACGGCTGAAGCCAACGCGACCGGCTCTGATCTGCAAGAATCCGATGATGGTGAGTTTTCTGCAAAGACCCGGGGTCTACCTCGGATGGCCGTGGACTCCCAGTGGACCGTGGCCACCACAGGGACGTCGGATGTCCCTTACGAATCGTCGACGCCACAGATCCTGGACCCGACCTACGAGGAGTCCACCAGTGATCACGTTCCGACGGACAACTGGTCTACCGTAGACGTTGGAACCAACATCACCACGGACAACTGGTCTACCGTAGGCGTCGGAACCAACATCGCCAGGGACAACTGGTCTACCGTAGACATTGGGCCCATGTTGGAGCCTACATCCCCTGAGAATGCGTCTCCCTCGGTGGCCACCTCCTGGGGCGAATCGGACCTCATGCCATCCATGGACCCAGAATTGGATGAGGATAAGACGGAAGGACAGGCGTCCAGGCTTGACGCTCCAACGCCCACCTTGTCCGTGGTTGAGTCCGGGCCATCAGAGCGATCCGGCGATCTCGCAACACGGGGACACAAAGAGGAAGAAACGGACGTCCCCCAGTTCGTGAGCCATGGCTTCAGCCCTCAAGGCAACCCGTGGATTACAAAGGGCACAGAGGAGAACCCTCGGAAGCTTCCGAAAGGAGACACGCCGGAGACAGTGCCCACAAGCTCCCGTGGATCCGAGAGGAAGCGTCAGGGCGCTGAGTCTGTCGAACCGACCACGTCGCTTGGCTCTCTAGTTGACGAGGGCACCGTTGCCGTCGGCACCATCGCGCCCACCCCAGAGGTCACCTGGCCATCCGCGCCCACCACCGCTCCCCCTTCCCGCAAAAGGCCCCACGGGAGGAGGAGGCCGAGGCCCCACAGATTCCGGCACCGGCATAAGCCAACCCCACCCTCGACGTTCGCCCCCACGGGGACCTTCTCAGCTGGACCCGCTCACGTACCCGGAGCCAAGACCCCCGAGCGAGTGAATGGTTCGCTGGTTCCTACCTCTTGGGGGGAGAGTACGGTTGGGATCCCCAAACAGGGGGACCTGGTAACCAAGGGGACCCCACGGAGGAAGCACGGTAGGAGGCCAAACAAACACCGATATGGCACCTCGACAGCGAGCCCCACGGCCTCGACAACCCAGCCCAGCCCGTCTTCGGATGTTACCACTCCCCGTCCGTTAACGGCCCTGGTGTCTACAACCGTCTCCCAGAGAATTGGGGACCCCCCTGAGACCACTAGAGTGGCAGAATATAGGACCACCACCCCCAAGATGCACGTATCTCGCCATGCAACCCAAGAGACCACGCCAGCCACAGATACGCCCGTATCGGATGGAAAGGAAACGGAGGATTCGAGTGTCTACAGCGTCCATGACAACATACGTGAGTCTGTCATTGATGGCACATCACCTTCTGGCTTCCAGGTCCCCACCGCGGGAGAAATTAAGAAAGAATCCCGTCCTTCCAGCGTCCCAGGAACGGAGAGCTGGACTCCACCGAGGACAGCCCCTCCTGGGGGTCCGCAGACAGACACCCCCGTGCCCCCCTCTTTGGAGACCCTCACGCACCCCTCATCCTTTTCCCAAGAGTCGGGGGACCTGGATCTCCCCTCTGATATCCCCCCTTCCGTGGTGCTCTCTACACGGGAAGACGTTGTTGCTTCCACTACTCAGATCACAGATGTTGAGGAGACTTCACGTTGGACCGGATCCACCAACCGTGGCCGGGATCCTCACGAAACCACCCCGGCTCCCGTGTATCCTGCAACGCGACCCCAGCACCCCGTCCTCACTCCGGCCCCCGTGGGGGATTCAGCGACCCCGTTCGCACCCACGAGTCTCCTGGATCTGGAGCCAACCACCACCACCGAGCCCGCCCATCTCACCTCAAGCCCGCCACCTCCAACGTCAACGGGTTCCAAGGACCACGTCTCCCTCAATTCCGTGGGGGGCCCCGAACCCCAAACTGCCCCCGCGAAGAAGGAGGAGGTGACCCAGCACCCGTGGTGGCGAGGAAACGAATTATCCACCCCCTCACCCAAGAGGGATCCATTTCACGTCACCCCGAAGCAGGGGGTCGAGAAGGAAGTCTTAGACGAGAGGACGAAGGACATCGTTCTACGCGGCCCCGATGGTCACCACCACCACCCAGGTGGGAGAGTCCAAATTCTCCACCAACCGGCCAGAGTCCCCCCAAGAGGGACGACGAGGCCACCCCACGGGACCACCCAAAGCCCCTTCAGATACCTCGCGACGTTCCAGCCCCCTCGTCCCGGGACCAACAAGCCGGGCATCACCGCGTACCCCTCGAGGGCTTTGTCGGACAACAAGCCCTGGACGACGACAACGTCCTCCAGCCCGACCACCGTGGGCCCGTGGCGCACGGCCACGCCTCACAAGGTCACGGACCATGGGACGGACCGATTCCACGGCCACGCTAGAGTGTTTGGACACAACAACATCCCGGATCTGAGAGACCCCGTGGGCCGGCTGCCCAACGCAAGGGTCCCTCATCACTTCGACGGGAGATTCCCTTTCTTCTCCCACAACCGGACCTTCTCTTTCCCACAGTTGGGCGTCACCCCGAAGACCCAGCCCCCCACCTCTCCCGCCCCAGGGCTGAGAGACAGAGCCGTCAACCCGGGTGCCTACAATCGGATCCACACTCAAACCATCACCCACGTGGACTTTGGCCCGCCAGCCCCCCCGTCACTGCCCCGTCCCAGGACCGTGGCCCCAATCTCCACCCACATCCAGAACATCCCGGTGGTCTACCCCACCCGGAACGCCATCCCCTTCGTGACCTCCCCTGGCCCTCCTTCCGGAAGCTTCCATCCGAGCGGCTCCAAGCTCTTCTCCGCGGGGGGACCGCCGGCGTCCAAATTCTGGGCCCTTGGAGAGAAGCCACAGATCATCACCAAGTCCCCCCAGACTGTGACCGTCACGGCTGAGACCGACGTCGCGATCCCGTGCGAGGCCACGGGGAAGCCCCAGCCTTTCGTTACCTGGACCAAGGTTTCTACAGGTAGGGCGTGGAAGCGGCTGCATTTTTTAAAAAAAAATCTTTACTAGAGGCCGGGTGCACGGATTCGTGCACTGGTGTGGTCCTTCGGCCTGGCCTGCGGGGATCGGGTCGAATCCGGCTCTCCGACATCCCCCGAGGGGTCCCGGATGGCGAGAGGGTGGTTCTCGGGTGATGCACCCCGGAATCGGGCTCCCTCCTCTCTCAGCAGCTCCTGTAGCTGCCGGTCGGAGCGTCTGCCCCCTGGTGGTCAGTGCATGTCATAGCTACCAGTCAGAGCGTCTGCCCCCTGGTGGTCAGTGCACTTCATAGCTACCGGTCGGAGCGTCTGCCCCCTGGTGGTCAGTGCGCGTCATAGCTATCGGTCGGAGCGTCTGCCCCCTGGTGGTCAGTGCAAGTTATACCTTCTGGTCAGAGCGTCTGCCCCCTGGTGGTCAGTGCACGTCATAGCTACCAGTTGGAGCGTCTGCCCCCTGGTGGTCAGTGCACATCATAGCTACTGGTCGGAGTGCTCCTTTTATATAGAGAGACTAGAGCCCCGGTGCATGAAATCCATGCACAGGTCGGGTCCCTAGACCTGGCTGGCTGCCGGCTGTTGGCAGCTGGCTGGGGCATTCCTACGTTCTCTGCTGCCTCCTGGTGGTCAGTGCATGTCATAGCGAGCAATCAAATTCCTGAGGGGACACTTTGCATATTAGGCTTTTATATATATAGATAGATTGATTGATTTCAGAGAGGAAGGCAGAGAAAGAGAGAGAGAGAGAGAGAGATTGAGAAACATCCATGATGAGAGAGAATCATGGACCGGCTGCCTCCTGCACGCCCCCTACTGGGGATTGAGCCTGCAACCCGGGCCTGTGTCCTTGACCGGAATCGAACTGTGACCTCCTGGTTCTTAGGTCGATGCTCAACCACTGAGCCACAGGCCCAGCTCTCATGGCATTTTAATCAACTGGTCTACGGATGGGCACTCAGACTGTTTCCAGATCTTAGCGTAGCTACCGGTCGGAGCGTCTGCCCCCTGGTGGTCAGCGCACGTTATAGGTTCTGGTCAGAGCATCCGCCTCCTGGTGGTCAGTGTGCATCATAGCTCATAGACAGAGAGAGGAGAGAGAGAGAGAGATTGAGAAACATCCATGATGAGAGAGAATCATGGACCGGCTGCCTCCTGCATGCCCCCTACTGGGGATTGAGCCCACAACCCAGGCATGTGCCCTTGATTGGAATCGAACTGTGATCTCCTGGTTCTTAGGTTGATGGCTCAACCCCTGAGCCACAGGCCCAGCTCTCATGGCATTTTAATCCACTGGTCTACGGACGGGCACTCGCGGTCAGAGAGTCTGCCCCCTGGTGGTCAGTGCACGTCGTAGCTACCCGTCAGACAGTTGTTCAGTTGGACGGTTGCTTAGCCCTCCCTTCTCTCCGCATCCTCGCCAGCACTTGGCGTTTGTTGATGTGTGGATGGTAGCCATTCTGACAGGGGTGAGGCGGTACCTCACTGTCCTTTTAATTTCCTTTCTGCTGTGGCAGTGTTAGCTATATAATAAAGAGGCAATATGCAAAGTGACTGTCACGCCCTCACAAGATGGCTGCCTACGACTGGGCCAGCAGGGGGGTTAGTGAGGGACGACCAAACGACTGAACAGCAGGCTGCGTGGGGCGCCCAGGCCAGCAGGGGGGGGGGGCGGACAGGGGTGAGGCGGTACCTCACTGTCCTTTTAATTTCCTTTCTGCTGTGGCAGTGTTAGCTATATAATAAAGAGGCAATATGCAAAGTGACTGTCGCGCCCTCACAAGATGGCTGCCTACGACCGGGCCAGCAGGGGGGTTAGTGAGGGATGACCAAACGACTGAACAGCGGGCTGCATGGGGCAACCAGGCCAGCAGGGGGGGGGGCGTGAGGGGCGACCAGGCCAGCAGGGAGTGCAGTTGGGAGTGACCAGGCCAGCGGGGGTGGTTGGGGGAGACCAGGTTGGCAGAGGGTGGCAGTTAGGGGCGATCAGGCCAGCAGTGAGGGGGTAGTTAGGGGTGACCAAGCAGGCAGGCACATGAGTGATTAAGAGCCAGCAGTCCAGGATTGTGAGAGGGATGTCTGACTGCTGGCTTAGGCCCAGGATCGGACATCCCCCAAGGGGTCCCGGATTGGAGAGGGTGCAGGCTGGGCTGAGGGCACCCCCAAAGCCCTGTGCACGAATTTCGTGCTCCTGGCCTCTAGTATTTACATACTCTTGGATACGTACTAGTATTTTACACACACACACACACACACACACACACAAACATAAAACATATTAGCATAGTCGTTCTCAATGACTATAAAAAAAGTTTCAGGCCATTTATGGGAGCTTAGAGGAATCGGCTACTTTCTTGGGTGAAAACTGGGCGTATCTGGAATTCTTTTCAGATGATGCTGTGCAGCCCGGCTGGCATGGTTCAGTGGTTGAGCATCGACCTATGATCCAGGAGGCCACGGTTCGATTCCCGGTCAAGGGCACATGCCTGGTTTGTGGGCTCCATCCCCGGTAGGGGGCGTGCAGGAGGCGGCCGATCCATGATTCTCTCTCATCATGGATGTTTCTTTCTCCCTTCCTCTCTGAAATCAATATATATATTTATATATTTTTTAAGAGCCCAGCTGGTGTGGCTCAGTGGTTGAGCATCGACCTACGAACCAGGAGGTCACGGTTTGATTCCCCATCAGGCCACATGCCCCGGTTGTGGGCTTCATCCCCAGTAGGGGGCGTGCAGGAGGCAGCTGATCCATGATTCTCTCTCCTCATGGATGTTTCTCTCTCTCTCTCTCTTTCTCTCTCCCTTCCTCTCTAAAATCAAGAAAAACATATTTTAAAAAAATCTGACCAGTTGGTGTGGCTCCATGGTTGAGGGTCGACCCATGAATCAAGAGTTTAGGGTTCGGTTCCCGGTCAGTAATAATACAAATATATTTTAAAAGAAAGAAAAAAAAGCCCTGGCTGGTGTGGCTCAGTGGATAGAGCGGTGGCCTGAGGCCCAAAGGGTTCCGGGTTCGATTCCCGGTCCAGAGCACACGCCCGGGTTGCGGGCTCCATCCCCAGTAGGGGGCGTGCAGGAGGCAGCCGGTCCATGGTTGTCTCTCCTCATGGATGTTTCTCTCTCTCTCTTCCTCTCTGTATTCAATAAAAATATACATTTTTTTAAAAATAAAAAGAGGGTCGTTTCTCTGGATTCTAACAGTCCCTGGTGTTTGCCTCCCAGGCGCCCTCATGACGCCCAACACCCGCGTCCAGCGCTTCGAGGTCCTGAAGAACGGAACCTTCGTCATCCGCCAGGTCCAAGTCCAAGACCGCGGCCAGTACGTGTGCACCGCCCAGAACCTGCACGGGGTGGACCGGCGCGCGGTCCTGCTCTCTGTGTCGGTCCAGCAGCCCCAGATCCTCGCCTCCCACTACCAGGACGTCACCGTCTACCTGGGGGACACCATCGCCATGGAGTGCTTGGCCAGGGGCACCCCCGCGCCCCAGATCTCCTGGATCTTCCCGGACCGCAGGGTGTGGCACGCCGTGTCCCCCGTGGAGGGCCGGGTCACGCTGCACGAGAACCGCACCCTCTCCATCAAAGAGGCCTCCTTTGCCGACCGCGGCGTGTACAAGTGCGTCGCCAGCAACGCGGCGGGCGCGGACAGCTTGGCCATCCGCC